GATAAGCCCCTAGAGATGAAACATCTCGTTTTCGGGGGGTCCTCAAAAAGGTAACAGAGGTGACAGATACAATGCAATACAATAAAGTAAACAATAAAGACAAAGGACAAAAAGCAACAATAAACAATACTCACACAAAACAAACTCACACACACACACACTCACACACACACACACACACACACACCCACCATGACTGTTGTAAATATATTTGATGCAGACAATAAATAGTGAAAATACTAAACTTATTAATATTAAAGGCAGTAAACATAGGATTATGTAACCCAAAATCAAAAACAATGACACTGATTTTGGAGATTTCGCACAAGAGCATTCTTAAACTGAGCCAGAGAACTGAAAGAGCGAACAGATGGGGGCAAACTGTTCCAATCAGACGGTGCTTTACATTTAAATGCATGTTTCCCGACTTCTTTTTTCAATCTTGGGACTGAAAAGAAGGACTGATTTGCATGACGCAAACTGTAGGAGGATTGAAAAGGAATCAAATATTGTTTTAAAATAGTCAGGAAAACTAAGATTAATGCATTTAAAAATAAATAATAGCCAATGTAGCTGACGTCTGGAGGACAGAGAGAGCCAGGAAAGCTGCTCGTACAGAAGGCTGTGGTGCGTTCTAAAGGGACACGGAGAATGAACCTGCACAGGCTGTGGCAGGTGACGTTCAGGGGCTGGAGGACAGAGACAGTAGTGTTTTGATAAATTATATCACTGTAATCAAGAATAGGTAAAATCAGTTGACAAATGATCCTCTTCCTAACAGATAAACTAAAACAGTTCAATGAATGGTAAAGTACTTTTAGTCTATATGAAATTTTGTTTGTGATTGTTTGTATATGAATGTTAAATGATAGAGAAGGATCAAGCCACAAACCAAGATATTTAAATTTATCAACGACTGGAACTGGACACATGTCTGAAAAAGTAAGCTGAATTTTGTTAGAGAAAATAGGATGCATTTTTTTCTGGAACAACATGACAACTGTTTTTGATTTGTTCAGTAATAATTTGTTAGATTTTAGCCAGTGTTGAACAGAATTAAAGTCATGTTGGATAGATTGTTGAATATTGATGATGTTATCATTGGATGTGTAAATCACTGTATCATCTGCATAAAGTTGAATGCTACAGTCTGTACAGGCAAGGGGAAGGTCATTAATAAAAATGGAGAAAAGAAGTGGACCCAGTGAAGAACCTTGTGGCACACCTCTCTCGATAAAAGAAAAACCAGAGTAGCTACCATTGTAAAAGACACATTGTTGACGGTGATGTAGATAGGAATTGAACCAGAGGAGTGAGGATCTGTCCAGACCAATACAGTGAAGTTTGTCTAAAAGAAGATAATGGTCAACCATATCAAAGGCTTTTGATAAGTCTATAAATAAAGCACCAGTAAAAAAAGAGTTGTCAAAACCAGAAAAAATGTCATTAGAAAACTTTAGTAATGAAGATGTTGTTGAAAAATGTTTCCTGAAGCCAGATTGGAGTGGAGATAGAAGATTTTTAGATTATATATGTTCAGATAATTGATTAAAAACTATTTTTTCATATACTTTTACAATGCTATTGATTATTGAGATGGGCCTATAGTTGTTCATGTCACTGATGTCACCACCTTTGTGAAGGGGGATGACTTTTGCACGTTTCCAGGCAGAGGGAACTTCACAAGAGCTAAATGAAAGGTTGAATAGATCTGCCAGAGGAAAGCACAGAACATGAGAGGCCATTTTAATGTACCTTGTCTCTATGCCATCAGGACCGGCACTGCCCAGAGACAGCCCGTTTAGTATGCATTCTACTGCAGCTGGACTCACTGGTCTAAAAGAGAAACTGCTGCCACAAGGAACGGCACTGGGTGGAGTGGAGGAGTGAGAAGGAGATTGGACATGAGGCAAATGAGAAAAATGATGATTAAAGGCATTGGCAATGGTAGTGGGATCATTTGTGAGTGCATCATTAATCAGAATATTGTTGGAGTCAGAGTTCGATTTACCGGATATATTGTTGATGTGTTTCCAGAATTTTTTAGGGTTATTTAAGTTATTTGTTAAACAATTTTTATGGTAATTGGATCTGGCATTTCTTGTTTGGGTGGTACAGGAGTTGCGCAGCCGTCTGTAGTCCTCCCAGTCAGCGACGAGCTTTGAAGTATTGAATTTATATTCAATACTAAATTTATTGCTGTTAATATAATTTATTAACAGCAACAAAAGTCTAGGGAGATAACACAAAGAAAACCAAAAAGGGGAAGGCAGGTGTGGTGGTGAGCAGGACTGCTGCTGCCAGGACAGAGAGAGAGAGATGGGTGGAGTCAGGGTGTGGTCTTATAGACTCCCAGCAGGGAACATGATGCAGGCTGGAAATCCTGGAAGTGGATCCTGGAACTGGATCCTGGAACTGGATCCTGGAACTGGATCAGGTCTGAGTGGCAGCTTCACATAACAATATCTTTGAGAAATGGCTTTCTTCTTGCCACTCTTCCATAAAGGCCAGATTTGTGCAGTGCACGACTGATTGTTGTCCTATGGACAGACTCTCCCACCTCAGTTGTAGTTATCTGCAGTTCATCCAGAGTGATCATGGGCCTCTTGGCTGCATCTCTGATCAGTCTTCTCCTTGTTTGAGATGAAAGTTTGGAGGGACGGCCGGGTCTTGGTAGATTTGCAGTGGTCTGATACTCCTTCCATTTCAATATAATTGCTTGCACAGTGCTCCTTGAGATGTTTAAAGCTTGGGAAATCTTTTTGTATCCAAATCCGGCTTTTTAAACTTCTCCACAACAGTATCTCGGACCTGCCTGGTGTGTTCCTTTGTCTTCATGGTTCTCTCTGTGCTTTAAACAGAACCCTGAGACTATCAAAGAGCAGGTGCATTTATACGGAGACTTGATTACACACAGGTGCATTCTATGTCATTTAGGACAACATTGGATCATTCAAAGATCCTCACTGAACTTCTGGACTGAGTTTGCTGCACTGAAAGTAAAGGGGCCCAATAATATTGCACGCCCCACTTTTCAGTTTTTTATTTGTTAAAAAAGTTTAAATTATCCAATAAATGTCGTTCCACTTCACGATTGTGTCCCACTTGTTGATTCATGACAAAAAATTAAAATTTTATATCTTTGTTTGAAGCCTGAAATGTGGAGAAATGTTGAAAGGTTCAAGGGGGGCCGAATACTTTCGCAAGGCACTGTATGTGTCATATGGCCACAATTTAAATAAACAAATAAAAAAATGATAAGAGTGTGAGCAGAGTGTGAGCAGAGTGTGAGCAGAGTGTGAGCAGAGTGTGAGCAGAGTGTGAGCAGAGTGTGAGCAGAGTGTGAGGACAGGCGTCTGACTCTGGCACGGTGGCTGAGTGGATAGCACTCTCGTCTCTCAGCAAGAAGGTCCTGGGTTCGAATCCCGGCCGGACCCAGGGCCTTTCTGAGTGGAGTTTGCATGTTCTCCCCGTGTCTGCGTAGGTTTCCTCCGGGTACTCCGGTTTCCCCTACCACTAAAAATATGTACAATAGGTCTGGCATGTGCCTCCTGTACTGGCCCCGCTCCCATCTCTGTGTGGAGTGAGAGACAAGTGCCCAAAAATAACAATTGTAAACCGCTTTGTGACTCTGGTCTGTGAAAGGCGGTATATAAATAAAGCTTACTAGCTTACTTACTACTCTGTCTCTTTCAGGTTCTCGTGTTATTGTATGTGTGGCAACAACATGTCGGTCCCGCTGCTCGACGAGGCTGCGACGGTGTCAGGGACGGAGAAGGAGACGGCTGCAGTGAGTTCACACCTGTGTCACATTCACACTTTACATAGTTGTGGATTCTCCAGCACAGATCAGAGAATCAAATGGTTCAAACACAGAGAGCCTGTGGTCCATGAGGAGCAGACACCACGGTACTTAAATGTGGATTCATGTCCTGACTCTCTGCGTCTCAGTCGAGGTCAGAGGATCTAAACCACTCACTGTAGATATCTGACAAATACAGCGTAACAGGAGATAAACCCAAAAGAAAAATGTTTAGTTTGAGTAATTGTATTTGAGTAATTCGTTCCTATAGTGCTGCATGTTCAGATGATCAATAATACAAAAGAATGTTCTTTGTAGGTAATCTTCCTTCATGGTTTGGGAGACAATGGGTGAGTGCTGCCTCTTTGTTATAAACATATATTTGTTTAGATATGATCAGTAAAATAATATGTGAACTGTGAGTGTACAGAAAAGGCTGGGCTGATATTCTGAGCAGTGTCCGACTGCCTCATGTGAAGTTCATCTGTCCTCATGCGTGAGTCTCTTCTTTAAACCATTACTTTTAAAAGATACAATAAAAACATTAAACATATCCTTCTGTTTCAGGCCTGCTATTCCCGTCACTCTGAACATGGGCGCCTTGATGCCCGCCTGGTAACACAATACAATACAATACAACACAATTAATGCAACACACCATTTCTGTCACACACTGTAACACACACATCTGTAACACACTGTGAGCGCCTCTGTCCCTGTGAGCTCCGTCCCTGTGAGCCCCTCTGTCCCTGTGAGCCCCTCTGTCCCTGTGAGCTCTGTCCCTGTGAGCCCCTCTGTCCCTGTGAGCTCCGTCCCTGTGAACCCCTCTGTCCCTGTGAGCTCCTCTGATGAACACATGTTTTGTGCAGGTTTGACCTCAAAGGGCTCAGTCTGGATTCTGCAGAAGATGAAGCTGGGATCAAAAGAGCAGCGGAGAGCAGTGAGTCATCATGACATCATCACATCATGACATCACATGACATAATGACATCATCACATCATGACATCACATGACATAATGACATCATCACATCATGACATCACATGACATAATGACATCATCACATCATGACATCACATGACATAATGACATCATCACATCATGACATCACATGACATAATGACATCATGACATCACATGACATAATGACATCATCACATCATGACATCACATGATGTAATTGTGTCTTTTCTGGTTTTAGTCAAAGCCATAATTGAACACGAGGCTCGTAACGGGATCCCTCCTCATCGCATCATCATCGGAGGCTTCTCTCAGGTACTGCTCCTCTTTCTGTGGGGGGGGTCCTCGGGGGGGGGGGCTGTCCCTGTGCTCCTCTCTGACTTGTGTTGTTTTCTTCAGGGGGGGGCCCTGTCCCTGTGCTCCTCTCTGACCTGTGTTGTTTTCTTCAGGGGGGGGCCCTGTCCCTGTACACCGCCCTGACCTGTCAGCAGCAGTTGGCGGGGGTGGTGGCGCTGAGCTGCTGGCTGCCGCTGCATAGGACTTTTCCTGCGGTAAATCTTCATTTTGGTGTTGCATAAAGAGGTCGTGCTGCAGTTGCCAGATCCTTTTGTTTGTATCTTCTTTGGGAAACTGAACCAAACTGGATGAAGATGAAGATGAAGATCCTTAACTCGTTCCTCAGAGGGAAAGTTCAGTGTTGCATCATCAGTTACAGAGCAGTAGAATGAGGAGCACAAGAATAACTACTAAAATAACATAAGCTCTGGAGCTTTAGCGTCAGAACGAAGCAAGTATAAAATTGTGCTTTTATGAGTTAACTATTTTGATATTGTGGTTTCTCAGTTTAGAGTTAATGAATTTTATAATAATGTTCATTTTAACCACATTCAACCTTTGTTTATCAAATAAAAGACAGATTTCTTCTGATTAATGATTTAATGCCACAGTTAAGCTGAGAGCGCCTTCTAGTCGCAGGTGTCCCCACTCTGGGGCTGTGTAGTTTAGGTTATTTAAGAAAGTATACTTTATTTTATCTAGAACAAAAATACAAATTGCCAAAAACATTTGAAAATCTTTTCATCAAATAAATGTGGGTGGATAAAATATAGTTTAATAAAGATAAGCCTCGTCTCAATATAATGATTATAATAATCAGACTTTTGTTTCAGGCGTCCTGCGGCTCCAGGAACATCCCCGTCCTTCAGTGTCACGGGACGTCTGACCCCATGGTCCCCTTAGAGTTCGGCCGCGTGACCTCCGACCTGCTCAAGACCCTCGTCAACCCTCAGCTCGTCACGTTCAGCAGCTTCACCGGCCTCTCCCACAGCTCCTGTCCACAGGTACAGCTCCTGACCACAGGTACAGCTCCTGACCACAGGTACAGCTCCTGACCACAGGTACAGCTCCTGACCCCAGGTACAGCTCCTGACCACAGGTACAGCTCCTGACCACAGGTACAGCTCCTGACCCCAGGTACAGCTCCTGACCCCAGGTACAGCTCCTGACCTCAGGTACAGCTCCTGACCCCAGGTACAGCTCCTGACCTCAGGTACAGCTCCTGACCCTAGGTACAGCTCTTGACCCCAGGTAAACTTCCTGACCACAGGTACAACTCCTGACCCTAGGTACACTTCCTGTCCACAGGTACAGCTCCTGACCCTAGGTACAGCTCCTGACCACAGGTATAGCTCCTGACTCTAGGTACAGCTCCTGACCCCAGGTACAACTCCCGACCCTAGGTACAGCTCCTGACCCTAGGTACAGCTCCACGTACAGCTCCTGACCACAGGTACAGCTCCTGACCCTAGGTACAGCTCCTGACCCTAGGTACAGCTCCACGTACAGCTCCTGACCACAGGTACAGCTCCTGACCACAGGTACAGCTCCTGACCCTAGGTACAGCTCCTGACCCTAGGTACAGCTCCACGTACAGCTCCTGACCACAGGTACAGCTCCTGACCCTAGGTACAGCTCCTGACCACAGGTACACTTCCTGACCACAGGTACATCTCCTGGCCCTAGGTACAGCTCCAGGTACAGCTCCTGACCCTAGGTACAGCTCCTGACCCTAGGTACAGCTCCTGACCACAGGTACAACTCCTGACCCTAGGTACAGCTCCTGACCACAGGTACAGCTCCTGACCCTAGGTACAGCTCCTGACCACAGGTATAGCTCCTGACTCTAGGTACAGCTCCTGACCCCAGGTACAGCTCCTGACCCTAGGTACAGCTCCTGACCACAGGTACAGCTCCTGACTCTAGGTACAGCTCCTGACCCCAGGTATAGCTCCTGACCCCAGGTACAGCTCCTGACCCTAGGTACAGCTCCTGACCACAGGTACAGCTCCTGACCACAGGTACAGCTCCTGACCCTAGGTACAGCTGACCCTGACCACAGGTACAGCTCCTGACCCTAGGTACAGCTCCTGACCCTAGGTACAGCTCCACGTACAGCTCCTGACCCAAGGTACACTTCCTGACCACAGGTACAGCTCCTGACCCTAGGTACAGCTCCTGACCCTAGGTACACTTCCTGACCACAGGTACAGCTCCTGACCACAGGTACAGCTCCTGACCCTAGGTACAGCTCCTGACCCTAGGTACAGCTCCTGACCACAGGTACAGCTCCTGACCACAGGTACAGCTCCTGACCCTAGGTGACGGCTCCTGACCACAGGTACGGCTCCTGACCCTAGGTACGGCTCCTGACCACAGGTACAGCTCCTGACCACAGGTATGGTTCCTGACCCAAGGTACACTTCCTGACCACAGGTACAGCTCCTGACCACAGGTACAGCTCCTGACCCTAGGTACAGCTCCTGACCCTAGGTACAGCTCCTGACCACAGGTACGGCTCCTAACCACAGGTACGGCTCCTGACCCTAGGTAAAGCTTCGGACCCCAGGTACAGCTCCTGACCCCAGGTACAGCTCCTGACCCCAGGTACTGCTCCTGACCCCAGGTACGGCTCCTGACCACAGGTATGGTTCCTGACCCAAGGTACAGCTCCTGACCACAGGTACTGCTCCTGACCCCAGGTACAGCTCCTGACCACAGGTACAGCTCCTGACCCAAGGTACAGCTCCTGACCCTAGGTACAGCTCCTGACCCGAGGTACAGCTCCTGACCCTAGGTACAGCTCCTGACCCTAGGTACAGCTCCTGACCTGACTCTAGGTACAGCTCTTGACCCCAGGTACACTTCCTGACCACAGGTACAGCTCCTGACCCTAGGTACACTTCCTGTCCACAGGTACAGCTCCTGACCCTAGGTACAGCTCCTGACCACAGGTAGAGCTCCTGACCCTAGGTACAGCTCCTGACCACAGGTATAGCTCCTGACTCTAGGTACAGCTCCTGACCCCAGGTACAGCTCCTGACCCTAGGTACAGCTCCTGACCACAGGTACAGCTCCTGACCCTAGGTACAGCTCCTGACCACAGGTATAGCTCCTGACTCTAGGTACAGCTCCTGACCCTAGGTAAACTTCCTGACCACAGGTACAACTCCTGACCCTAGGTACACTTCCTGTCCACAGGTACAGCTCCTGACCCTAGGTACAGCTCCTGACCCTAGGTACAGCTCCTGACTCTAGGTACAGCTCCTGACCACAGGTATAGCTCCTGACCACAGGTATAGCTCCTGACTCTAGGTACAGCTCCTGACCCCAGGTACAACTCCTGACCCTAGGTACAGCTCCTGACCCTAGGTACAGCTCCTGACCCTAGGTACAGCTCCTGACCACAGGTATAGCTCCTGACTCTAGGTACAGCTCCTGACCCCAGGTACAACTCCTGACCCTAGGTACAGCTCCTGACCCCAGGTACACTTCCTGACCACAGGTACAGCTCCTGACCCTAGGTACACTTCCTGACCACAGGTACAGCTCCCGACCCTAGGTACAGCTCCTGACCCTAGGTACAGCTCCACGTACAGCTCCTGACCCCAGGTACAGCTCCTGACCCTAGGTACAGCTCCACGTACAGCTCCTGACCACAGGTACAGCTCCTGACCCTAGGTACAGCTCCTGACCCTAGGTACAGCTCCACGTACAGCTCCTGACCACAGGTACAGCTCCTGACCCTAGGTACAGCTCCTGACCACAGGTACACTTCCTGACCACAGGTACATCTCCTGGCCCTAGGTACAGCTCCAGGTACAGCTCCTGACCCTAGGTACAGCTCCTGACCACAGGTACAACTCCTGACCCTAGGTACAGCTCCTGACCACAGGTACAGCTCCTGACCCTAGGTACAGCTCCTGACCACAGGTATAGCTCCTGACTCTAGGTACAGCTCCTGACCCCAGGTACAGCTCCTGACCCTAGGTACAGCTCCTGACCACAGGTACAGCTCCTGACCACAGGTACAGCTCCTGACTCTAGGTACAGCTCCTGACCCCAGGTATAGCTCCTGACCCCAGGTACAGCTCCTGACCCTAGGTACAGCTCCTGACCACAGGTACAGCTCCTGACCACAGGTACAGCTCCTGACCCTAGGTACAGCTCCTGACCTCAGGTACAGCTCCTGACCCTAGGTACAGCTCCTGACCCTAGGTACAGCTCCACGTACAGCTCCTGACCCCAGGTACAGCTCCTGACCACAGGTACAGCTCCTGACCCTAGGTACAGCTCCACGTACAGCTCCTGACCCTAGGTACAGCTCCACGTACAGCTCCTGACCACAGGTACAGCTCCTGACCCTAGGTACAGCTCCTGACCACAGGTACACTTCCTGACCACAGGTACATCTCCTGGCCCTAGGTACAGCTCCAGGTACAGCTCCTGACCCTAGGTACAGCTCCTGACCCTAGGTACAGCTCCTGACCACAGGTACAACTCCTGACCCTAGGTACAGCTCCTGACCACAGGTACAGCTCCTGACCACAGGTATAGCTCCTGACTCTAGGTACAGCTCCTGACCCCAGGTACAGCTCCTGACCCTAGGTACAGCTCCTGACCACAGGTACAGCTCCTGACCACAGGTACAGCTCCTGACTCTAGGTACAGCTCCTGACCCCAGGTATAGCTCCTGACCCCAGGTACAGCTCCTGACCCTAGGTACAGCTCCTGACCACAGGTACAGCTCCTGACCACAGGTACAGCTCCTGACCCTAGGTACAGCTCCTGACCACAGGTACAGCTCCTGACCCTAGGTACAGCTCCTGACCCTAGGTACAGCTCCACGTACAGCTCCTGACCCCAGGTACAGCTCCTGACCACAGGTACAGCTCCTGACCACAGGTACAGCTCCTGACCCTAGGTACAGCTCCACGTACAGCTCCTGACCCAGGTACAGCTCCTGACCACAGGTACAGCTCCTGACCCTAGGTACAGCTCCACGTACAGCTCCTGACCCCAGGTACAGCTCCTGACCCTAGGTACAGCTCCACGTACAGCTCCTGACCACAGGTACAGCTCCTGACCCTAGGTACAGCTCCTGACCACAGGTACAGCTCCTGACCCTAGGTACAGCTCCTGACCCTAGGTACAGCTCCACGTACAGCTCCTGACCCCAGGTACAGCTCCTGACCACAGGTACAGCTCCTGACCCTAGGTACAGCTCCTGACCAGGTACAGCTCCTGACCACAGGTACAGCTCCTGACCCAGGTACAGCTCCTGACCCTAGGTACAGCTCCACGTACAGCTCCTGACCCCAGGTACAGCTCCTGACCACAGGTACAGCTCCTGACCCTAGGTACAGCTCCACGTACAGCTCCTGACCACAGGTACAGCTCCTGACCACAGGTACAGCTCCTGACCCTAGGTACAGCTCCTGACCCCAGGTACAGCTCCTGACCACAGGTACAGCTCCTGACCCTAGGTACAGCTCCTGACCACAGGTACAGCTCCTGACCACAGGTACAGCTCCTGACCCTAGGTACAGCTCCACGTACAGCTCCTGACCACAGGTACAGCTCCTGACCCTAGGTACAGCTCCTGACCACAGGTACAGCTCCTGACCCTAGGTACAGCTGACCAATAATAATTTGTTGCTGTTTTTCTCCAGTGAAGTATAGTTTAGTTTTTATCATGAATGAACCAAAAACACTGAAATAATAATAATTTTTATTGCCACGTGATCAACAGGAAGTCAGAGAGGTGAGAGCAGAGAGGTGAGGGTAGAGAGGTGAGGGTAGAGAGGTGAGGGCAGAGAGGTGAGGGTAGAGAGGTGAGGGCAGAGAGGTGAGGGCAGAGAGGTGAGGGCAGAGAGGTGAGGGCAGAGAGGTGAGGGCAGAGAGGTGAGGGCAGAGAGGTGAGGGTAGAGAGGTGAGGGCAGAGAGGTGAGGGCAGAGAGGTGAGAGCAGAGAGGTGAGGGCAGAGAGGTAAGAGAGGTGAGGGTAGAGAGGTGAGGGCAGAGAGGGCAGAGAGGTGAGAGCAGAGAGGTGAGAGCAGAGAGGTGAGGGCAGAGAGGTGAGGGCAGAGAGGTGAGGGCAGAGAGGTGAGGGCAGAGAGGTGAGGGCAGAGAGGTGAGGGCAGAGAGGTGAGAGCAGAGAGGTGAGGGCAGAGAGGTAAGAGAGGTGAGGGCAGAGAGGGCAGAGAGGTGAGGGTAGAGAGGTGAGGGCAGAGAGGTGAGAGCAGAGAGGTGAGGGCAGAGAGGTAAGAGAGGTGAGGGTAGAGAGGTGAGGGCAGAGAGGTGAGGGCAGAGAGGTGAGAGCAGAGAGGTGTAGGGCAGAGAGGTGAGAGCAGAGAGGTGAGGGCAGAGAGGTGAGGGTAGAGAGGTGAGGGCAGAGAGGTGAGAGAGGTGAGGGCAGAGAGGTGAGGGTAGAGAGGTGAGGGCAGAGAGGTGAGGGCAGAGAGGGTAGAGAGGTGAGGGCAGAGAGGTGAGAGCAGAGAGGTGAGAGCAGAGAGGTGAGAGTAGAGAGGTGAGGGCAGAGAGGTGAGGGTAGAGAGGTGAGGGCAGAGAGGTGAGGGCAGAGAGGTGAGAGCAGAGAGGTGAGGGCAGAGAGGTGAGGGTAGAGAGGTGAGGGCAGAGAGGTGAGGGCAGAGAGGTGAGAGCAGAGAGGTGAGGGCAGAGAGGTGAGGACAGAGAGGTGAGGGCAGAGAGGTGAGGGCAGAGAGGTGAGGGTAGAGAGGTGAGGGCAGAGAGGTGAGGTGAGGGCAGAGAGGTGAGAGCAGAGAGGTGAGGGTAGAGAGGTGAGAGCAGAGAGGTGAGGGTAGAGAGGTGAGGGCAGAGAGGTGAGGGCAGAGAGGTGAGAGCAGAGAGGTGAGGGCAGAGAGGTGAGGGTAGAGAGGTGAGAGCAGAGAGGTGAGGGCAGAGAGGTGAGGGCAGAGAGGGCAGAGAGGTGAGAGCAGAGAGGTGAGGGTAGAGAGGTGAGGGTAGAGAGGTGAGGGCAGAGAGGTGAGGGCAGAGAGGTGAGAGCAGAGAGGTGAGGGCAGAGAGGTGAGGGCAGAGAGGTGAGGGTAGAGAGGTGAGGGTAGAGAGGTGAGAGCAGAGAGGTGAGGGCAGAGAGGTGAGAGCAGAGAGGTGAGAGCAGAGAGGTGAGAGCAGAGAGGTGAGGGCAGAGAGGTGAGGGCAGAGAGGTGAGGGTAGAGAGGTGAGGGTAGAGAGGTGAGAGCAGAGAGGTGAGGGCAGAGAGGTGAGAGCAGAGAGGTGAGTGCAGAGAGGTGAGGGCAGAGAGGTGAGGGTAGTGAGGTGAGGGCAGAGAGGTGAGTGCAGAGAGGTGAGGGTAGAGAGGTGAGGGCAGAGAGGTGAGAGCAGAGAGGTGAGGGTAGAGAGGTGAGAGCAGAGAGGTGAGGGTAGAGAGGTGAGGGCAGAGAGGTGAGAGCAGAGAGGTGAGGGCAGAGAGGTGAGGGCAGAGAGGTGAGGGCAGAGAGGTGAGGGCAGAGAGGTGAGGGCAGAGAGGTAAGAGAGGTGACAGAGAGGTGAGGTGAGGGTAGAGAGGTGAGGGCAGAGAGGTGAGAGCAGAGAGGTGAGAGCAGAGAGGTGAGAGCAGAGAGGTGAGGGCAGAGAGGTGAGGGTAGAGAGGTGAGGGTAGAGAGGTGAGAGCAGAGAGGTGAGGGTAGAGAGGTGAGGGCAGAGAGGTGAGAGCAGAGAGGTGAGAGCAGAGAGGTGAGAGCAGAGAGGTGAGAGCAGAGAGGTGAGGGCAGAGAGGTGAGGGTAGAGAGGTGAGAGCAGAGAGGTGAGAGCAGAGAGGGCAGAGAGGTGAGAGCAGAGAGGTGAGGGTAGAGAGGTGAGAGCAGAGAGGTGAGGGTAGAGAGGTGAGAGCAGAGAGGTGAGGGTAGAGAGGTGAGGGTAGAGAGGTGAGGGCAGAGAGGTGAGGGCAGAGAGGTGAGAGCAGAGAGGTGAGGGCAGAGAGGTGAGGGCAGAGAGGTGAGAGCAGAGAGGTGAGGGCAGAGAGGTGAGGGCAGAGAGGGCAGAGAGGTGAGAGCAGAGAGGTGAGGGTAGAGAGGTGAGGGCAGAGAGGTGAGGGCAGAGAGGTGAGAGCAGAGAGGTGAGGGCAGAGAGGTGAGGGCAGAGAGGTGAGGGTAGAGAGGTGAGGGTAGAGAGGTGAGAGCAGAGAGGTGAGGGCAGAGAGGTGAGAGCAGAGAGGTGAGAGCAGAGAGGTGAGGGCAGAGAGGTGAGGGCAGAGAGGTGAGGGTAGAGAGGTGAGGGTAGAGAGGTGAGAGCAGAGAGGTGAGAGCAGAGAGGTGAGGGCAGAGAGGTGAGGGCAGAGAGGTGAGGGTAGAGAGGTGAGGGCAGAGAGGTGAGAGCAGAGAGAGGTGAGGGTAGAGAGGTGAGGGCAGAGAGGTGAGGGCAGAGAGGTGAGGGTAGAGAGGTGAGGGTAGAGAGGTGAGAGCAGAGAGGTGAGAGCAGAGAGGTGAGGGCAGAGAGGTGAGGGTAGAGAGGTGAGGGCAGAGAGGTGAGAGCAGAGAGGTGAGGGTAGAGAGGTGAGAGCAGAGAGGTGAGGGCAGAGAGGTGAGGGCAGAGAGGTGAGAGCAGAGAGGTGAGGGCAGAGAGGTGAGGGCAGAGAGGTGAGGGCAGAGAGGTGAGGGCAGAGAGGTAAGAGAGGTGAGGTGAGGTGAGGGTAGAGAGGTGAGGGCAGAGAGGTGAGAGCAGAGAGGTGAGAGCAGAGAGGTGAGAGCAGAGAGGTGAGGGCAGAGAGGTGAGGGCAGAGAGGTGAGGGTAGAGAGGTGAGAGCAGAGAGGTGAGGGTAGAGAGGTGAGGGCAGAGAGGTGAGAGCAGAGAGGTGAGAGCAGAGAGGTGAGAGCAGAGAGGTGAGAGCAGAGAGGTGAGGGCAGAGAGGTGAGGGCAGAGAGGTGAGGGTAGAGAGGTGAGAGCAGAGAGGTGAGGGCAGAGAGGTGAGGGCAGAGAGGTGAGAGCAGAGAGGTGAGAGCAGAGAGGTGAGGGCAGAGAGGTGAGGGTAGAGAGGTGAGGGTAGAGAGGTGAGAGCAGAGAGGTGAGGGCAGAGAGGTGAGAGCAGAGAGGTGAGGGTAGAGAGGTGAGAGAGGTGAGGGTAGAGAGGTGAGGGTAGAGAGGTGAGAGCAGAGAGGTGAGGGCAGAGAGGTGAGGGCAGAGGGGTGAGGGCAGAGAGGTGAGGGCAGAGAGGTGAGGGTAGAGAGGTGAGGGCAGAGAGGTAAGAGAGGTGAGGGCAGAGAGGTGAGGGCAGAGAGGTGAGAGAGGTGAGGGCAGAGAGGTGAGAGCAGAGAGGTGAGGGTAGAGAGGAGAGAGAGCAGAGAGGTGAGGGCAGAGAGGTGAGGGCAGAGAGGTGAGAGAGGTGAGGGCAGAGAGGTGAGAGCAGAGAGGTGAGGGCAGAGAGGTGAGGGCAGAGAGGTGAGGGCAGAGAGGTGAGGGCAGAGAGGTGAGGGCAGAGAGGTGAGAGCAGAGAGGTGAGAGCAGAGGTGAGGTAGAGAGGTGAGAGAGGTGAGGCAGAGAGGTGAGAGCAGAGAGGTGAGGGCAGAGAGGTGAGGGCAGAGAGGTGAGGGCAGAGAGGTGAGGGCAGAGAGGTGAGGGCAGAGAGGTGAGGGCAGAGAGGTGAGGGCAGAGAGGTGAGGGCAGAGAGGTGAGAGAGGTGAGGGCAGAGAGGTGAGAGCAGAGAGGTGAGGGTAGAGAGGTGAGAGCAGAGAGGTGAGGGCAGAGAGGTGAGGGCAGAGGGGTGAGGGCAGAGAGGTGAGGGTAGAGAGGTGAGGGCAGAGAGGTGAGAGCAGAGAGCAGAGAGGTGAGGGCAGAGAGGTGAGGGTAGAGAGGTGAGGGCAGAGAGGTGAGGGCAGAGAGGTGAGAGCAGAGAGGTGAGGGCAGAGAGGTGAGGGCAGAGGGGTGAGGGCAGAGAGGTGAGGGCAGAGAGGTGAGAGCAGAGAGGTGAGGGCAGAGAGGTGAGGGCAGAGGGTGAGGGCAGAGAGGTGAGGGTAGAGAGGTGAGGGCAGAGAGGTGAGGGCAGAGAGGTGAGGGTAGAGAGGTGAGGGTAGAGAGGTGAGGGTAGAGAGGTGAGGGTAGAGAGTGAGAGAGGTGAGGGTAGAGAGGTGAGGGTAGAGAGGTGAGGGCAGAGAGGTGAGGGCAGAGAGGGCAGAGAGGTGAGGGTAGAGAGGTGAGGGCAGAGAGGTGAGGGCAGAGAGGTGAGAGCAGAGAGGTGAGGGTAGAGAGGTGAGGGCAGAGAGGTGAGGGCAGAGAGGTGAGAGCAGAGAGGTGAGGGCAGAGAGGTGAGGGCAGAGAGGTGAGAGCAGAGAGGTGAGGGTAGAGAGGTGAGAGCAGAGAGGTGAGGGCAGAGAGGTGAGGGTAGAGAGGTGAGGGTAGAGAGGTGAGGGTAGAGAGGTGAGGGTAGAGAGGTGAGGGCAGAGAGGTGAGGGCAGAGAGGTGAGGGCAGAGAGGTGAGGGTAGAGAGGTGAGGGTAGAGAGGTGAGAGCAGAGAGGTGAGGGCAGAGAGGTGAGGGTAGAGAGGTGAGAGCAGAGAGGTGAGGGCAGAGAGGTGAGGGCAGAGAGGTGAG